CAGGGAGGAGGAAGAGGGGCTCTGTGGTTTTGCACTCTCTCCAACTTCGCTTTTCCTCTTGCGTCACAAGGCAGAGATTAAAATCATCCCTGCTCTCCAGGGTTGCCGTGGAGACATCTGATAGGGTATGCAGTAGGCGCTCAATAAGCGCCAGGGCCTTCCCACTTCCTGCTGTCACGCTGGGGGACCGAGGCGGACCTGCCATGCCTGGTGACCCGGGACAGATGGGTTCGATCCTAGGGGTCTCGGTCTAGCGGCCAGTGAGATGGGGCGGGCCGTGTCCCCGGGGGTTCCCGGCAGGGAGGTCCTGTGGTGGCACTGCATGAGCGGATTGCAAATGTAAGTCTCCCGTGTGGCTAGGCTGCGGTGGGCTGTGGGGACAGGAAGCCTGGGATGACAGGCCTGGAGGCCACATCCGGTCTGGCTCCCCAGTGTCCACCTCTCTGGCACACTGAGGGGGGCAGGTAGGAGGTGGCAGGGCTGCCACTGCGGCCTCTCCAGGTCTTCTGTCCCTCTCTGCTCCTTATGCCACTTCTTTGGGACACTGACTAAAAGGGAAGGTGCTGGCAGGCCAGCCTCAGGGCCCAGCCTGGCTCTAAGAAGGGGTTGGGGAAGGGAAAGTGGAGGAGGGGCAAGACCACTGGGGACCCCTAGGGGGTCTGGAGAGGGGAGGAGGGAATCTGTGCCTCTCCTGGGTTTTTTGCTGGGCTTCTGTCTCCAATTCTGGCTCTGCAGTCTGGTTGAGTTTCAGGGTTTCTGTTTTTGTTTGTTTGTGGGTTTTTTTTGTATGCCTTTTTGTTTTGAGACAGGGTCTCACTATGTAGTGCAGGGTGACCCCAAACTTGCAGGGGTCCTCCTGCCTCAGCGTCCCCAGCACTGGGATGACAGGCATGGGGCCAGCTCTCCTATTTCAGTGTGTGTGGTACTGGGATTAACCTGGACCCTTCGCGTGCCACCACACAGGCTTCTCCTGTCTGTTTCTGGCCCCTCCGCCCCCCCAGAGCCACCTCCCTGAATCGGTCCACCCTCCCCCGGATTTTTGTCGCCCAGTCGCGGGCTGGAGTGAGTCCGGCTCCCCCCGGGGGCGCAAGGCGATCTGAGACCTGCAGCCGGCGCTGCTTGACGTCAGTGCAGGGGGCGGGGCCG